CATGACCTGAGCCGAAGGCAGACGCTTAACGACTGAGCCACCCAGGCGCCCCTCCCACTGCTTTCTGGCTGGCTTCATGCAGCAATAAACTGCCCTCCTCCCTGACCTTGGCTTTGCACCCTGCCCAACTACTCACGATGAAAAAGTGCCCCTGTAGAAAATGATTTGTCATTTACCACACTTTGGATAAGATGCGAGCACTATGTCATCACTTCTGGCTTCAAAGGTGTCCAAGGCCTGGAAAGTTTCTGAGGTGCACATGGTGATTGGGTACGGAATCCCCTGATGAGTGAAAAACAAGCGAGAAAGCGCAGTTTCTTTTGATTTTTCCAAAGCTTCGTCAATATAGTCAATAAATTTGGACTTACTGGCCATGCTGGCTCCCTGCTGATGAACCTGTTCTGTGGTCGTCCAGGAGTAGCGACGGCTTTTAATGGAGTTTCTCAGGAGGTGGAATAAAGGGCTCCCCCAGTTCACATGAGAAATAAATCATTGAATTCTCCCCGCCCCCACCTGCCTGTTTGCACACCCATCTCTGACAAAAGGCAAACCACAGGTGCAGAGCAGTGTGAGGATTAGGGAATATAACCCCAGGGGTTGATTATATTACCATTATAGACAATCTTCCCAAGGAAAGTAAGAATAGAGTCCATTACCAGAAGATAACAGATATTAACTTTCTAACAAACAAATTGTATGTCTGAATCAGACATACAATTTTCCATCACAGAATTGAGGAAATTTTGTATGTCAACAGAACATATCTTACTGAGGCAGGTGGTAGGTGTAGGAGAGCAACTTTAAATCTCCATTTTACAGTGGGGAAAGACGAGACCAGAGAGGGTTCCTAGTTGGATAGGTTTCTGGGTTTCATTATATTTGTAATAATGTATTTTTAAAATGTTTGTCAAAAGGTAAAATTGGAATATCTGACTGTCTTACTATTTCTATATTTCCATAAACCACTTCCCTGTTGGAGATCTTATTACTTACATAACAATGGGATGCTATTCACTGTAGGTGGGAAGGTTGTGTATTTCGGAATCTCCCTCCCAAAAAAGAAAAGGAGTAAGACTGGACTCCTTGCCAAGCTGCTTAGTGGGATTGTCCCTTAGCATTATTGTCTTTGTTTTCCTGGGGAAGGTAGAATTTAAGGTATTAATTCAAATGTTGCTGTTGTCTTTTGTGTGCTTCTTAATGAGTAAAATGATAAGACAATATGCCTGGATCCTGTTTTGACACTCATGTCTGTAATTATAGGAGGATTTGGGGGGCTGTTTGGAATTGGTAATGTGAGCTCTGATTCTTCTTAGTCTCCCTAGGCTGAGGGTAGGCTGTCAGTCTTACAGTTCTACCTACTTGACTCTTATTTTTTTCTTAAGATTTTATTTTTTAAAGTATTCTCTACACCCAGTGTGGGGCTCCAACTCACAACCCTGAGATCAAGAGTCTCGTACTCCACCAACTGAGCCAGTCAGGTGCCCCCCCACTTGACTCTTAATTGTCTACATGCATGGTGGAGGTAAACAGCATGAATGATTGTGTAATAACCTAGATTATATGATACGTTTGCACTGGTGTGCTTTTGAGTGCAGGTGGGCCTCCGGTTCTGTGCAGTCCCAGCCTCTGTTTAGCTCCTCGATGCACCCAGGCCTGAGATAAGTGGTGGGGGACCGCTTAGACGGCACCGCCCTGGCTTGGCTCTCACTCCTGGTGGCTTCAGCACAGGAGGTGTGTTTAAAGCTCCTTTCCTTGAGATTAAAGACATTGTTCTTTCTTAATTTTTTTTCTTTTCATTTTTTTTTCTAGGCTATGGACTTATACTGGGTGGGGGGGAGAAGAGAGAATTCTGGAAAGAGAGAGAGATTGAGAGGTTGAGAGAGAAAGAGGGAGAAAGAGAGAGAGAGAGAGGAAAAAAAAAACTTGGTGACCAAAAATGTCTAGGGTGATTGAACTCTAGTCTGATTAGTAAAGCAGGGAAGCAAGAATCAAGAAGCATATGGCTCTTGGGAACAAACTGAGGGTTCTTGGCGGGGAGGTGGGTGGGAAGACGGGGCAACTGGGTGATGGGCATCAAGGAAGGCACTTGATGGAATGAGCACTGGTGTTATATGCAACCAATGAATCACGGAAAAAAAAAAAAGAAGCAGCAGCATATGGCCCTTGTGTGCCAATTGGCCCAAGGCTGATTTTTCGGGGCAGGTAAATCGGCGCCTCCTGTGCCATCCTCCTCTTTATGTAGTAGAGTGCCCCTTCAGGATTAAGTTGGGCTTTTTCCCTCTTCTTTACCAAGAGAAGTGCTACTTCCTAGTGTAGTATAGGATTGAAATTTACTTTGGAATCCCACATATAGGGAAAGGGTGTAACCTCTTGGTGTTTTGGGAGTTTATTAAAAACTGGCTCCCCTCTTCAGAAGTTGAACACCAGCAAGTCAGGGATGAAGTCTAGTTAGTGGATGCTGGAAACATTCGGGGTCCAGGGCAGTTTAACTGGTGACACTTTGGCATCCTAGACTGGGGGTGATGGAGAAGCACCCCACTCCAGCACGGGGATGCTGGCAAGCAGGAGTTCTGCCCCCACTTCCCCCGCCCCAGGGACAGCGCTGCCAGAGGCTGCAGGTGCCACTGCTCTGTGTCCTGTGGCCATCTGAAGGGAAGGCTGGGTCATCACCAAGATCCTGGGCTTCTCTTCTCCAGTAGGTGCCTTTTGTCACTAGTAACAATGGGTCATCTGATCTCTGCAACCTCTTGTCAGCTGATTGAGAGAGCTTTATTTTGAGGATCCCACACAGGTTGCGCTGTCTCTTTCCGTGGGAAAATGGACAGCAAACTTCCCAGGTACTTACTAATGAAGAGATCCCTGCTGCCCCTCCTCTTATGACCACTTCAGAGGACTGGAACTTTGGCCAACTTCCGTGCTTTGGGCATGATGAAGCAAGGGAACTTCTTTCTGGTCACTTGCATCCCTCTGCTGGAGTTAGCAAATCAGGGTCACACTGGGGAATGTACAGACTCCCAAAGGAGCCTTTGGGAGGGGTGCTGGAGACTTAGAGGAGGATGAACAGGACTTTAATGAACTGGGGATTTGGGCATTTGCGTTCCAGGGTTACCGTTGGGGCACGTTAGTTACGCCTGCCTACTGAAACAGGTCTGCATTTCTAACAAGCTCCCAGGTGATGACCATATTGCTGATTCTTGGAGACTATCACACTTTGGGTTGCAGAGTGTAGAAAATAATTGAGCACAGGTTTTTCGAGTCAGTGTCTTAAGTTCAAATCCAATTTTGTCTCTTGTTAGCTCTGTGATTGTAGGCAGGGTAAAACTCTTTCCTTCTCTGTAAAATGAGACACTCATAGCACCTATTAGGACATAGGGTTTTTGTGAGGATTAAATAAATTAACGGACATAGCCCGCAGTCTGGATCTGCTCTCAGTAAGAAGAGCACGATAAAAGGTAATTCGGTGTGGGGCGGGGCCAACGCCAGGAGGGGCGGGGCTGTGCCAAACCCTGCGCACGCGCAGTCGTGCGTGTTAGCTCCTCAGGTAAGAGAGCAGGGCTTCTAGTTGGGCGTCCTGACTTGGGCTCTCCACAGAGCGGAGTGGGGCCGTTTTGTGGGGGCCTCGCTAAAGTTCTGGGATCATACGGAGGGAAGTTGGGTGTCACTATATCCATTCGGCGGGAGGGCGCGGGACAGGCCCGAGTGTTTCCGGGTCGCTCGGCGACCTTGTCGCC